TCATCTGAATTGGTTGGAGGGAAGATATTAATAGAAATATTCCACGGTGGAGGTAGGTAACAGGCCTTTGCACAAACGATGTTATCTTAATGGGTTGGAGGGAAGATATTAATAGAACCACTCCATGGTGGAGGTAGGTAACAGGCCTTTGCACAAACGATGTTATCTTAATGGGTTGGAGGGAAGATATTAATAGAACCACTACATGGTGGAGGTAGGTAAAACGGACCATTGTACATACGATGTAATCTGAATAAGCGGGAGAGAGAATAGTGGCATTTTGGTATATGGTGACTGGTGAAGGGGGGGGGGGCTATTTAATATAAATGGACGAGCCAATGTATATATCACTTACTCACCTGGTAATATAATAAAATACTGATATGATAATATAACAATAGAACAATATATACCACTCTGCACATTCACCTGGTGATATAACAAAATAATAATATAATAGTAATATAATAGTATAAAAATATAATTATAGAACAATATATACCATTATCCACTCTCACCTGGCAATACATTATATTAATAATATAATAATTATATAATAGTAGAATAATAGAACAATATATACCACTCTACAAACTCGCCTGGTAATACAATATACTAATAACATAACATACCAATACAACAATACATACCACTCACTCACCTGGAAATACAAGACACCCCTAACACAACAACACATGCCTTGTAACACCACCACAACCAGCACGGCACACCCAGCTATATGCTCCTTGCTGCCTATCCTGAATGACCCATCTGCGCGAGAGGTCTGTTCTGTGTGTGCTGCATCCTCAGTCACACTCCCTTCCGTCCTTTCGGCCGCCGCCCCATTTTGTCCCGCAATTCCCTTGCTCTGACCAGATATCCTTTCTATACGAGCCCGTGTGTCTGCATTTCGGACCGGTCCTGAATTCCGGGGCGGGGAGCGTGGCGCAGGTGCAGTGTCTGGGTCTGTGGTCTGGTGTGCCAGTACATACTGGCGCATGCAGCCGCTCACGTTGGCGAAGGTGTGTCTGAGTGCCTGTTCAACCGCTGCCACACGACTCTCCCCTTGGCCATCCGCCACTATCACAGCCAGCTCTTTGGGGAACATCTTGCGTGCAAAAGCAGACGCAAACTGTCCTGAGTGTCCGTCGAATACCCCCACAAGTAACCCGTTAGTCTCCAAACCGGACTCGGAATTGTCCTGGATGAACCGCTCGAGCTTGGTTCTGGGGCCAGGCCCAGGGCCCCGGGGCTTATTTCGGGCCATCTGTTTGGCTAGCCCTGTCACTGTGTCTGAATCCGACTCAGTGTCGGAAGGGCTCTGCAGTGTTGTACGCGGACGTATGGGCGGTGCCACGGCTATACGACACGCACAGCACCTGTCTTCTAACCCATGGGTGACACTGGTGCCTGTGAGCTATATATGAGACGGTGTAGAAGGCTCAGAAGTAAGTATCTGAATAAGGCAAGACACTGAGAGGTTGACAGGGTTGACATCGGGTGTTGTATATAGTTGAATATCTATGTATGCATATACATGTGAATACTTGCAAAGGAATGCATGAATAGTAGTTAGAGCTAGGACATGAATGTATATGTACGTATTGTAAATATACACATTCACATTCTTCGGTATTGA